AAAGAGCTTTGCTCGTTGAATCAAAAGAAAAAAGTCGATGAAAAATTTCACACCGATTCAAGTAATGACTCAGATTCACAAATAGAGCCTGGTGGAAGGGAAAAAGAAAAACAAGATGAGGATAAAGGATTTCTTGATGAAGAAGAATCAGATACTGAAATTCAAAGAACTTGGAATATGGAATGTTTTGAATAAATCTGTTTTTCAAATTCAAATATTCGTGAATTTCTTTTTGTATAATAATTTGATATTTGTCAAAGAACAGAATTAAAATTCGTTGAGATTCAGAATATTATCTATTTCGTGCATATTTGATTTTCGATTTGAATTCAAGAATATTCGACTGTTTTTCTTGAGCTTAGAAATTGAATGGAAATAAAATTCCAAGTTCATAAATTTTTCCTTTTTGATAAAATTCAAGATTTTGCAAAGTTTTCAACATGAATCGTGTAAATGATTTCTCAGATCAAAAATCGATGAATTGTCGCGACTTCACGTTGAATGATGGTTCATGAGGCTTTTTTGATTCATTTTCCATTCATAAATGAATTAATATGATTCAAAAATGAATGAAGTTGAAGGTGAATTGAAGACATTTATGATTCAAAAATGAATCAAAAAATTAAGTACTTGATTCATTTTGCCTTCAACTGCATTCATATTGTTTTGATTCATAAATGAATCAAAATGGTAAAAAGAGCGCATTTTTATCTTCATTTTTGATTCAAGTCTGTTGATTGGGGTTGTTTCTTCCGGATCTCAACTTTGAACCGAAAACTACAGTTTTGATGAGTTCATCAACCAATGCATTTCGGTAAAGCAATTAAAGAATGGATGAGTAAAGGCTCCTCTCAAGAGATTAGTTGGAAGATGAATTCTGGTTGAGTTTGCAAATTCGAGGCTTTTCGGTTGAAATATGAGTAATTGTGGAAAATTGGTTAAATGAATAAATTCAGGACCACAGAAAATCTCTCGAAGCGAAAATCTGAAACTCTTATAGCAAAAACATAACATTTAGCCTAGAGTTAGATCTTTTTTGACACTGAAATCTGATAAGAAATTGTATTTTCTTATTCTGATGAAAAGACTCGGTGTGTTGCATTAGCCTTGCAGCAATCAGTCCCATTGGTTTAACCTTTTTTCATGTTCCCTTCCGTTTCTCCTGAAAACGTTTTTCCATTCAGAGTAAACACGGCAAAATCCTTTTCTTCACTTTTCACTCCCATTAAACTGTTTTTACTTTTTTTCAAAATTCAAGATGAAAAGAACTTTGGACACCTGAAGAAGATGAAAAAAAGTTCTGTAACCTGATAACCATAAGAAAATATATTGTTACTGTTATTATGCCTCTTGAGGCATCTGAATAGTAAATAAAGATACTAATGTTTTACTGTTTTCTGCTCTTAACATTATTGTATTGAAGCTCAAGTAGATTGTCAGGTCAATGTTGACCAGTGAGAAGAAGTAAAAACATTAAAAGATGCAACGAAAAGCAATTCAATTGAGAATTGTAAAAGAAGAAATTCAAGGCAAGAAAAACAATCATGAATTTCCACTCGTTTTGACTCTTGAAACTTTAGTGAATGGAAAGGTCAAAAGAGTAGAATAGAAATTTTAATTTTTAAAGACTTTTTCTGATTGAAAGTTTATCGAGAGACACGACAAATTGTGCCAAGTTTTTGCATTGCCATTGAATAGCAATAAATTTTCCTTTAGTCAATGTTGGCTTGTCGATTGAAAAAAGATCTTGAATTTGGAATGCATAAACTACAGGCAATTACAGAACTTTTTTCATGGAGTATTCCATTCTATTAATCCCATATCAATGCAAACTATTAGATAAACTCTCGTGAGCATAACATTGCCAGTCAATATGGGCACAAATATGTTAATATTGTGATGAGATTATTTGCATGATGAATGATATCAATTGATATTGCTTGCAGTTTGATCATGTATGAAGTTTCTCAATGAATACTAGATTAATTGCTTCAGTGATTTCGATTTAAGCGCATCTGGATCACGAAAAAAATGAGCTCAACTTCGAAACAGTTTCTTCAACTCATCAGCTCCAGTTTCATTATCATAAAATAAACTTGAAATTTTCTTTGCTTCTAATGACTAAATCGACTAGTCTAACGTTGAACAGAAACTCACGCAGCTTAGTTTGATTCGAATGATGAAGAGAGGTTCTTTTAACAAACGAAAATTGCAAGTTCTGCAGACTTTGTTCTTTAGAATAAACTATTTTCTCAAACTTTTTTACTTATTGCTAATCTTCAGTCGAGCTTGCAAAATTCGTCTACGAAATGAAATCAAAGGAAATTCACTTGTTTTCCTTTCAATCTGTCAATCTGACTTGCTGAGGTGAATTCAGTTGGCTTTACTCTGACAAAAATTGAAAAGTTCAGCTTAAGCAATTCAATGAGATTTCCAGTGAAGGGTAACAATTCGAATCTAAGTTTTACTCGAAGTGATACTTTGAGAAATGTTTTGAAAGAGTTGACAGCATCAGTCAAAAGTTGCAAAACACAATTTCACGAACCTCAACGAACACGAAACTGGAAACTGGAAAGGTGAAAAGGAAGGAAAAGTGTTTAAAGTGTAAGAAAATAACCACCGAAATAACCTGATGATTACACGAAAGGAACTTTTATTATTGAATAAGGTTGAGAGATTCAATCTCATCAAGGATCATTTGTTATTCAAATAAACGGTTGTACAAAATTGAATAACTGTTCATTACAATGTACAAAGTAAATGAGATGACTTATGAAAAATATTCAAACTTTTGCTTCTTTGCTTTTAGAAGAAAGGAAAAGTTTAAACTTGAAAAAATGACTTATTCCAGTGTTTTAATGATAATGATGATGATGATGTTTATAATGTAGTTGCTATCATCTTATTACTTGGGAGTATCAAAAGTAAAGTTGAGATTCAACACCATAATGGATATTTGTACATTATGTGTACATCAAAACGTGAATAATGTTTAAATGCATAATGTATTAATAGTCTGAGAAAAGCATTCTGATTCTTTACCATTTACTTAATCTGTGCCCATCAAAAGGTAACATTGAGAGCAAAAAAGTATCTTCACATTTTTACCATGGAACCATATTGTAAGTAAACATGGCAAAGCAAGGGAAGGTCACCAAAAGAAGATGATCAAGAAGGAAAGTTGATTCATTAAGCTTTAACCAATATGATTAAGCATTTGGTAAAGTGGATGAAAGAGTAAATGTGACTTCTAAAGATGAATCGAAAAGCAAATCAGTCAGATTATTTGAGCAATAGATTGGGTAAACCCAATTCTTTGTGGGTTTTTTAATGATCGATGCCAAATGATTAGTCAAAATAGTGAAATTATTCATTTGTTTCGATTTCTTTTTCAATTTACACCCAATTGATTGGAAACATCCGTCAACAGACTTAAATTTTGATTCAAGAAGAGATACAGATTGAATATGGAAAAACCGAAACGATTGAATGAAATTCTCTATGTTGACTAATCATTGAAAAATCCACAAAGACTGCTGAGTTTACCTAAAATTATCGACTTATTGATTGAAGACGAGATATACTTTCACACCAAAACTCTGCTTTACCTCAAAACATTGTATTGTTAAAGGATAACTTTTTATCTTTTCCGTTCATTTTGCGCACAATTTATTAATAATTGAGATCAATTCTGAGATTCGAGTTTAATCTTGAAAGTTGTGGAAGCGCAAAGCGCAATAACATTTATCTATGCATCTATGCATACAAAAGAGAAAGCCAATTTATCAAATTTTTGTCTCGAAATTTTGGCAAAACTGAGTGGGTTCTAAGAAGAAAATTATACAGCATGAAAGTTCTAGTTCAACTACAACGACTAAAAATAGACAACCTCAGCTTAGACATCAGAACGCTGAGAATACATGAAAATAGAGGCTAGAGGAAAATGAAGAATAACATGAAATAACAATAAAATTCAGTGAGAGGGATTCTGTTATTAAGGTTTAGGGTTCGTTTTTGGGCCAAGATTTTATGTAAACTTTATCAAGAATTTATCTTGACTTCTGAGTTACATTTTGTATTAATAAAAGTCGAACTCTGGTTGATTTGGTGAAATCGCTACCAAACTTCGACTGTATTATATTTTTTTTGTGTTGTAGATCCAGTTTCATTTAATCTTTGAGTTTACTCATTTTAACGATGACTTTTTCATTAATAATTCGAGTATATTAAGTGTTGATTGAATGTTATTGCTCTGAGTAGCAAGAGTTTTGCGATCAGCCAGGATCTGGAGTCTGCTTGTTAAGCATAACTTTGATGCATAAGTGGCTGATGGGTTAAGTGAGATATTGAAGCAATTTGAATTAAAATTACTTCAATTAAGTGAGAAACATGTTAAGGGCAACAGCAAATGTCAAAAAGTCATTTCATCAACTTTAATGGTGTCATTATCATGATTATATCTGGTGCTATCATGATGGTTGGAAGGAAAGTAACAATTGGTTCATAATAAGTTGACTTTTTTTTCTCCTGTTAATATTTCGCCTCAAATTGAATTAACAGTTGGGTTAGGAAAAAGTAATTTCAATTTCACTGTAATGTTGAAAAGTTATTGGCATTAATAGGAATTGACAGTTTTGATTTTGTACAGAAAAGATGAACATGCAATTCATCAATTCCACCATTTCTCTAATCATTTTCTTCTCAATAAAAGAGCAATTCATTTCATGCAATTTTCAATTCCACATTCAACGTGACTGAAGTTGCTCTAAAACAAAACAATTGATTACAAATTTCGCTTTAAATATTGAATGATTGACCAAAAATTTATTTTCTGTTTCATATAAACTTTTTCATCAGCATTTCCAAGCTAACATTCATTGTGACGATCTTTACAAAATTCCCAGACAAATTTTCTTTCCCTTTACGGAATTCTTCTTTTAAGTGGATTAAGGAAAATGAACTGAACCAAAAATTCTTCGACTGCAACTTAAGTAAATACAAAGTGATACAATCCGATGGATCGAAAAGAAAAGAAAAAGCTATTCTTGGATCGAACTTTTTGAAACTCTTTTGTGTCAAAAGTTTGATGCTTTTACTGAACGATGAGAATTGCTTTGCTTCGAGATTGATCAACTTTTAGGTAGACGGTTTTGCATGTAAACTTAGAATCGAAGTTTCTATCGTTTCTCATCGGAATGACGATGGCTTGCAATTTCCATTAGTCACAACGGTTCCAGTTTCTTCATGATGCAGAATTGACTCGACAACAATGGATTTTGAACATTCTTTTTTCACTATCGAGTTATCCTTCTTGTTGTTCAGTGATGCAGCTTTGTGATGATGATAATGATTTGTTCAAGTTTCATTGAACGATTCTTCATCTTTAAGCAATATGTTGATCGTCAATTGAACCATTTTTAGCATTATATTTTTACTCTTTGAAAATAGTCTTTTGCAGAAATAAAAAGCACTTTTCAACTTTTATTTGTATTGTTTGCTCTTCATGCAACATTTATAAAGCCAGACTCAATTCAAAGTTGATGAACAGATCAAAATATCATTTCTCACATTGAAATCCCATACTTTTCTGTCACAAATGAAAGATCGGAGGAAAAGCAGAAAAACTTCAACTTTTCTTTACAAAACACAATTCAAATTTTCCATTACTGATAATGCCATGTTATTTATATTTTGATATTTTTAATGTCAAGTTCAGAACTTTGCACCGAACAACAGAAAGAATAACATCGAATAAAGGTGAATAAAGAATTTGACTCATTCAGTGCAAAAACATTGTTGACTAACCAAAAAATAGTTGCTAAATTTATCGCCGAAAAACTGAACTCCCATTGAATCAAACCCTGAATCTTCCTGGTTATGATTACCATTCTGACTGTCAAGCAACTCATCGACATTGATGTGTGATGTGAGATTACAAATGCTATTATTGTAAGTCAATAATTGATGGACAGAAAACATTCTCTGATGAATCGATGGAAAATTTAATTTTCAATTTTCTCTCATGAAATTCATTCTTTTAAGTTGAATTATGGTTATTAAATGATAATTAAATTTCCAAGATTAATGAAATCATTTCGAAAAATGGACTCAAATTGCAAATCTGAAATGGTTAATGTCAAGCTGTGATATTTTGTTGCAATTGTGTTAACATGATTCAATTTAATTCACCATTTGCGGTTCAATAAAAGAGCTTTAAACTTTGCTTCAATGAACCTTAACCAAAAGGCAAGTCTAGAGCTTCAATAAACTCATCAGAGTTCTAGATTCTAGATTATAAATAATGATTTGCTGGAAAAGTTTCGATGAAAAAACAGATCAATAATAAAGTTGAAAAGAGAAGGCAAAAAATGAAAATGAAGATTCTTCTGCAGTTGAACAGTAAACATTTCAACATTTCAATATTTTTCCACTAAAAGTCATTAATGAAAAGTTCGAAAGAAAACATTGAAAGTTCAAGTACTTCAACTTTTCAATGTTTTAATAATAAAAAAACTTCGAAAGCAATAATTGTTGGAATAATCAAAAGTGAAAATTGAAGGTAAAATGTACTTGGTTTACCCTCAATCTGGCAACTCTTTTAATCGAGATTTTGTTTTTACTCCTTTCACTTCCAACCCTTTTCAAGTTTGAGCTAAATTTACAGTTGCAAATGATCTCATTAACGAGAAATGATGAAAACTGGATCATCTCATTTGGCACAGACAAGTGGCTATAGATGAACGCTTGAAGGAGTTTTGAAATGCAATCATGAACATAGTGACGTGATGAACAAGAGAAAAATCGTTTTCGCTAATAAAGATTTTTTTTCGCAAAATTTCAACTTCCAAAGTAATGAATATATATTTTTTGATGATAAGTTAATTGGAAGAATCAATTTATCTGTGAAAAAAAGAAAGAATCAACATTAATAAATTATTAATTATATCTTGAAGCTATGAGTTGGAATAACATGGAATTGTCCAGATAAAAAGTTGGGAGGAAAAAGTTGATGAAAGGCGGGCGAAAAAGTTTATCTTTACTCATTGCAACCAATTTGTTTGCTCGAAACATTGTAATTGAATTAACCTTTTCTTGTTTCTCTTCTCTTCTCTTTTTATCCAGTGACAAGTTTAACCTCCAGTGTCCTTACTCTATCAGCCATTTCATGTGATAGATTCATTGCCATCATGTATCCACTTCGAGTTCGAGTGACCAAACAGCGAACCAAGGCGGTCATCACAGTCATCTGGATCATTTCAATACTCGTTTCAACTCCATTCCTCTTCGTTCGTAAACACTTACAAATAAAGGTAATTCGAAATGTGAAGCAAAAGAAGAAAAAAAAAGTTGAGAAAAAAAAGTTCTGTCTTTTGTTTGGAGAGAAAATTTTGGACAAAAGAAGGTCAAATTTTCTCTGATTACTTGAACTATTCTTGATTTGATAGAGTAACCAAGTTACTCTTAGTTGATTGAATGTTTGATCGGTGAACAAGAACAAAAATACAAGCTGATTAGCGAGGAAATCCAGGGGAAAAATGAAAGAAAAGAATAGGAGAAAAAAAGGAAAAAAACAAAAGTAAATAGGTATTAATAAAGATTATTAGCAACAGGGAAAAGGATACAATAATAATGAACAATTGAACTGATAATAGGGAACCTTTTCTTTTCTCGTTTGTGCCTTGCTTTGGTTCCGTTTGCAAGGTGATCAAGCAAATTATATCTTCATCATCACTTGAAACTTTCATCTCTTTACCCTTTACACTTGTTTTCCCATTGACCTTAAACTTGTCATTAGCTTGAATCAGTTTAAGAGCATTAAAACATTTTCACCAGAAAAGGAAATCAAGAAAGAGAGAGAAAAAAAGTTAATCTGAAACTTGGATCAACGAAAAAAAAGAGTGACGAAAGTTTACAACGATTTAATGGACTAAGTAAAAGTTTAACAAGTTTATATAATACCTCTTCAAGCCGAAGATTGACTCTTCAACTCTTCATCTATCATTAACGAATCAATTGCTTTACCAATCTTTATTGATAATACTTTGACGATCAGGAAGAAATGTTTCCTTTTTTTACTTTTCTCGACTTTTTTTGTGTACAGATCGATACAGAAAATCCAAGTTATGTAATTTCGAAATTCAGTTGAGATTTTTCAAATGCTGAAAAACCTTGGATTTAATGGGCATATTTTTTCTTGCATCGAGAAGCAAATTGCTTCCATTTTTTTGCAGCCAACATTATTTGTATCGATATATTAAGTTTGCAACTTTTTGGCTCATCAGGTTTAATTATACGTTGTTGAGGAGAAAGTAAATGTGATTCATTGAGCATCAATTGGATGCTGATGAACATTAATTAAGATTAACAAGGTATACATGATTAACTCTCATTTGTTAGCCATGAAAAGAAACAATTTGCTCTATGTTGAAGCTAATGGTTGATCATGATCTTAATCAAGTAAATGTCTATTAACGCATTTATTACTAATGCATTAACTAACATTAACTTGTTTGATGAATTTCGTTGCTTCGAATTATTTTCTGTGAGAAAAATCGAAAAACTAACAATTTCGTTTTCATCATTTCTTTTGTTTGATTAGCATTCAAACACCAACAAGGGAAGTGTCCAAATAACTCCAAAAGGTTTCAAGATTTAGCAGGAAAAGTTGAGTCGAAATCGTTAATAAAATCTTAAAAATCTGAAAAGCTATTTTTGACTTCCTTCTTCTTTTTCGGTTGAGAACTGGAAAGATTCGTGGCTATTTATTCTTACCAATATTATAATCTGGTATTTAAGATTATCACGCTTTAATTAATTCGATCGTTAATTTTCTTTTCTAAATGTTCGTAATTATTTTATTAGATATCATCAGATACTATAATTAATTCGCAGCCAATTTCGTGTTCATTTTTCTCTCATGAAAGGCGAGTTCAACTGAGCATGCTTTTATTTAAGCAATTTAATACAAAAGATGGAAACAATTGTTTCTTTTCCATGAAAATCCCGAGAGAAAACTTTTTTACTGCTTATTCTTTTGTGGTGAAAAAGATTCATTTTTTTCTAACCATAGTTATTGTTATTACAAAATGCTTGGAGTATTTGGTTAAATTAATACAAATGATGAGATAGAAACATAATAACAGTGAAACAATGTGAATCAATTTACAAATTATGCCCAAACCGAAAGAAAGTTGAAAACAGAAACCCAATACAGTTTCATTTGCATCATTATTTGGCAACAAAAACGAGGCAAAACTTGTTCATTATTGAGTTACTATTTTGATTGTCTCATTTAATTGCACTTCATCCACATAAAACCAGAAATTGATTAAAATTTAGAGCCAAAACTTTGGTTTTGGGATCTTTAACTGAATCAGTGTTCTATTGTTCCGAAAGTGGAAACAAATGTTCTCGATCTCCAGTTTGCTCTTAATTGCACCGGGAGCAATCAAATATGAAACAAAGTAAAAGAATAAGAACAAGAACAATCGTACCTGGATAACGGAACAACAATACAACACTGTACTGAATCGGATAAAATTTTCTAAGCATTTCTTGAAAGTGGAAAAAATGAATGACTTTTTGATCCTTTTTTAAAAAGGAATTATGAATGATGAATGGAAATAAAATTTGCAGCAAATGGAAAGAATAAAGATTTTCTTTCTTTTTTTGCCTCTCATCAGATTTACCAGAATCACAGGGAGTCCAAATTGTCCGGCTTTTAGATTTGATGTTCTTATTTTTTCTTTGATTAATGGTTTGCATTTTTCAGGATTATCAAAGAGGGTAATCAAGTTAATCTGATTCACCATGAGCCAACATGAAGATGGAATAAATCTTTTGCTGTTATTGCAATCTTTTTACTCTTCAACCTTTATCTCATTAGCTTCCATGCAAGCAAAAGATTTTCCTTGATTATTGAAACTCGGAATATAGTTCTATCATGTAAAAAGCGAAAGGAAGTTGCAACATGAACAAGTTTCATTTATTTTGTGTTAAAATGGGTTCACAATTTTTCCTCATTTCACTTGTTCCTTACCTTTATCTTATTTATTAGTATGAAAAGTCAACAAAGTATATGTATATCAATTTGTGTTTGTGTCGTTGGTTGGAATAGAGTGAACAATGAGTTTAATGGAATCAACTGAACATGCTTAAGATGCTTCTCGACGTTGTAATTGTTATTAATATCATTATCTTTATCACCATTATTAGTGAAATGTTGTATTTTTGTTGTTGCATTATGATGAACAGGGAAGTCACAGGGAGTGAATAGAAGAAAGAAAAGGAAAAGGACGAAAATATGAAAAGATTTTTAATCCCAAAGCACTTTTGATTCACCTTTTGCTCATAATGTTTATTGCAAGTTGAATTATAGCATTCCATGTTATTAATGGGGAATCCAATAATGATGAATAAAAATGAATAGCTATTCAAGTTATGAGATTTTGATTTATTAATAACATTATTATCATTGCTACTCTCGGTAATATAATAACAACGATCATACCAATATTTGGTGTAGAATGCTATTCAAGAATTGACAGTCATTTTCAGATTTTCACATATTTCATGCAATCATCCGCTGATTTTATTTGTTTCATGCAAATCATTCTATTCAATAAGACTCAATGAGTTTTAATTTATTCAAACTGCATCTATTATATGATTGGACAATGAAAAAACAGTCAAGAAAATTTAATGGACAAAGTATGATAACGTTGCAAGATTTCTTTTGTAGAACTACATACTACTGTATTCAGCTTGATCACTAAAATGGTTAAAACTTTGTAACAAGAAAGTTACAGACTTGAGATTCGAGTATAGTTGACTCTGGTGACATTTTGCCGTGAAGTGTAAATTTTATTCTGATCTTTTCCACCATCTAGGCACAACAATTTTCAGCAGAAAAACCTCCAATTTTTTAAAAAACCGAAAATTGGAAGCATCAATGAATAAGATGTAAAAGTTTATGTTTCTGATCAGTAATTGCCGTAATTGCTCTCTTGAAATCACTGATTGTTGAAACAAATGTTTGATTGCGAGATGCGAAAGTTCGTAAAATATTTTTAAATTCTGTTTTTCTCAAAAAACTTCAGCATAATGCATGGAGAAATAACTAGGTACCAATAACTTTCGTTAATCGAAAAACGGGCACCTAGTATTTTTCAGTTTTTATGTAATTTTGATGCGCTATCTAAAAGTTGACTAACATTTCTTGATAGATTGTAAGTATATAGTTTTTGAAAAGGAAAAGGCTTCTGAAAATATTAGCCTCCATATGCTAAAAGAGAAAATAAACTCAAAGAATTCTCCTCAGAACGGAAAGAAAAAAGACAAAAGACAATTTCAATTTATATTAGTATTTCTTTATTCATTTTATATTGGATGACATAGTTTGAAGAGCAAACATTCTCAGTTTTGCATTTCGCATAAAATAGACAAAAACCCAAAAACGGATAAAATTTCATACCCACATAATTGGACGTTTGCCATCATCCTTAATATTTGAGTTCATTCTTCTTATGGCGAACGTACAGAGCAGCCTGTAACACACCCGTTATTATCTTTGACCTCAGTCACATGTTCTCCAACACGTGCTGTACATTTTACTTCGGCACTACATTTTGAGGTTCTGTGATGCGATGATGATGGACAAATCTACAAGAAGAAAGTAAAAGTTTTTAAATAACTCTCCAAGTGTCTCTTATAATGATTGGAGATTTTAAATTCTCCAAGATTTAAAAATGAGTTAGAATGAGTTTCTTTGTATGTGAATGATACTCACCAGAATGCCCAAGAAGAACAGAATAAAACACATGTAAAATTTCATGATTAAGCTGTATACGAAATGATAGATATAACTCAAGTAACAGTAAACTAATTGATAACTAAATGATCAGAAAGAAGCTTTATATACCTAAATTTTGTTAGCTCGTTGATTAAGATTGACAATCCTTATTTACATAGCTTTCAATTTAAATAAAATTTTAATTAGTAATTCGAAGGATAGTCTAAGGGTAAATTTTCTGCCTTTTCGTGTTAATTCGTCCCCTTTGGTATCAATAAACTGTACTAAATTTTTGTCTGAAACGACTAGAAACTGAAATAAATGAGGCTGGAGAAAGTAAATCAAGTAATAACCAAAAGCAAAACCACAAAAACATTCATCGTTGGCTATTCTTAATTACAGATGATTCAGCAAATGAGTAAGCTTTCTTTTGGCTATGACTCATATCCGAAGAAGTATACGAGAACCTGAAATTGATTTCAAAATGATAATATTAATATGAAAGCTCCTCAATACTTGTTCACTATGTTTCGATGTCAAAGTCATGCTAAAAAATTTTTTAATTCGCGCGGAATGCTGATAAAGGTCAAATAAATATTATTCTATGATGCAATCTGCCAAATCGTGATAATATTATTGTTTAGTTATGTGATTTAATTCTCATAATTTTCCATCCTCTCATCATATCATTTTTCATTGAGTAAAAAAGGTCTAAAAATTCGTAAAAAACTATCTTCTGGTTACTGTAGTTTTGGCTAGTTCGCTTGCAAAGGCCCATGATCATTTTTCATTATTTGTGCATTTCAATTGTATTAAGTTTTGACGCGCGATTCAGATATAAAGTGTCCAGCTTTGCTGGGTGTCAACATATGTTACAGTACCCGATTTTTTGATCTATCACGGTTCATTTTTGTTTATACATTTCCACAGTAAATACGGAATGATTCGCAGAAAATAGCATCATTTCAAAGAGTCTAGAGATAATCCGAAAGATTGTTTATCTGCAGCGTGCATACAAAAGATGTTTTTGATATTAGTGATACTTTTTTTTACATGAATAATCAATCAAGTTTACAAATTAATATAATTTGAGAGCAAACACCCTTTGTTTTCGCTATTTATAACCATTTCATTAGAAACATTGGTGTAGACAAAACAATTTACACAGTAGTTCGTTTAGACTCGAGGACTGAGACTGTATGAAGCTAACATAAAACTAATGAATAATCTGTGCAAATAATGAATATCAATTATTCAATTTTTCCTGCAAATCAATAAACGATAGCATGGTCGTATATTTGCATGAACCCGCTAAATAACATTAGATTCCTTAGTTATTGTTAAACTTTGTTTGTAGCTTTTATGTTCAAACTTTTTACCAACAAAGCTTTTAAGTTGTGTGTAACACATAAAATTAGCAAGCAGCTCTCAAATTGCATTACTTTAGCATTGGAAAAACTAAAATGCATTCAATATTCTTGACAATTATAAAAATGGCCTTTTAAAAATATTTTGAACCAAATGCTGTCTAGACAGAAAAATGAAGATTCAGTGTTTGCCTTTAAAATGTTAATCAGAGGTTGCATTTGTCTGAGCGTAGCGAAGAATCAGTCCATAGCTCGGAAAATACAGGGTTCCTACGCTATTTCGGAACGCATGAAAATGATCATAATTTTAGAATCAGTAATAATTGAAGAATAATTTCTTAATAAAATGAAAATTTAACTTTGGGTGATCAGTTCTGTTGTGATTCAAATTGTTTTCTCGCAATTTTGATGCACATTTTTGCTCTTTTATAAAAAAATCGGTGACACTTTCGGGCTCTTCCATTTTCGATCACTTTGAAAAATTCTTTGAAATGAAAGAGTGAATTCATAAATTGGGCTTAATTTTTTAGTTTACGAAAAATCTGCTTAGAAAAATAAGCGGTTCAAAAGTTATTAAGAATTTTCTGCGTTCCAAAATAGCGTAGGAAGCCTGTACAAAAAATAAATCGAATCCTCAGGCACTGTTGTACCTACTTCTTTCAATTTCACAACACAGATGTTCATTCTTATCAGATCAGCAAGAGTACTTTTCCGTTTGCATGCTTCCATTTACAATTTTTAGGCGCAGAACTGGTTCACTGAAATGCATGAGCTAACGAGTTATAATAGATAAATAAAACTTGTTATAAATGTTTTCATACTGCCAGTGAAAGGTGCTATTCTTGAAAATCACAATAAATGCGCTTTTTTGCTTCATCACTGTTTATCCTTGGAAGTCTATTCAAATCATCGCCATAAAAATTTAAAATTAATTATTTTTTACCTAGGCATGTCAAAGTTGAAACTCTTTCGCGATCAAGCTTTCTAATTAAAATGCAAATTAAAAATTTTAAGATTGAGGTTCTTTATTTGTGATGAGATATCTATGGTAGTTGAGCTACTTTGAGTGACCTTGCAATATTCAGCTCATGATTTTTCCATTTGCGGAAGATTATATTTGAATCTGTAGATTCAGTCCTTCAATCAATCCAGTATCAATTCATCAAAAAAGTTCATTCAATACTTCAATATCTGCAGCAAAATGCATATTTTCTTGATATTAATTGTTCTTATATTTGTATCAATGAGCATTTTCCTCCTCGAAATGCTAATCTGATTCAAAGAAACCTCTGATTAAATGCATACTGAGGAAAAAAATATTTGCTCAAGACAACTAATGAGATTAATCTGAACATTTATTCAAAAATAATTCTCTAGCATTTTTTCTTACACCACATTTTGCCCATTCAATCAAGTCTTATATTTCCAATGACTTTACTTTCACCCAAGTTGAATCTAAATTGCGATGAAAAGATAATGAAGCTGAGTCAATATGAAACAGTAAACCCAATTATCTGTAACTATCTTTCCACAGTCTTTTGAGAGTTTGCTAAAAAAGCTACAGTAAAATGATCTAAACGATTCATCTTTTGAGAGGAAAAAGATTCAGTTTACCATGAATAAGGTAAGACGAAATTAATAATAATAATTGTCTATCAACACATTGAATGAGTCTAAACAGTTTTACAAGTAGCTTAGGTAAGCTGAGTAATGAGCTTGTCAATAAAGTTTGTTAGTTCGTCAAAAGTAGGGTAAATGCATGTTGCCCTGATAAAATCTTCAAATCTATTAGAATAACCCATTTTTTAATCGAATCCAAAAATTTTTATCAAATGATTAAAAGTAAATTTAATTCCATTTTGACAAGAGAATTTTTATCGAACATTTTCCTCGAGATTGAATCTGAAAGAAAAGCTCATTTCTACCAAGAACAAAAATTAATGTTCACTGTTTCAATTTACTCGCCTGATTATTTCTCATTTTTCAAAGTCTATACAAAACAGTTGTTCTATCAGCTGAACAATCTTTTTTTATTCAACTTTATTTTCCAACTTTTCATGGTAAATAATTGCTTTCTTAACATTTGACGAATAATCTGAAACATTGTTAATCATTTGTTGCTATCCTGAGATCTGCATAAAGTTGGCATCATTTCATGTTTACCATCATTCAGTTCACAAATGAAATATTTTACCAAATCTGACAGTTTCAATCTATTCAAGTGTGACAGTTCAATTTGAATTCAATATTTTAAACGATTTTCAATGTTTCTCTATCGATGTGACTCGAATTGATGTCAATTGTAAAAATTGAACATTTTTCTGTATTCTTCTTTTTCTTTTCATTTTTCAACTTCATTTGATTCAACTATTAACTTGCAACCTTTTCTTATCACCTTTTTAGTGGCGCAACTTTATTGAAACAAACTGTCAAGAAGTTTGGCCAGGTCACACCGTTTACGATCCAGAAAAGGAAAGATGTATAACAACTTATCCGGGGAAAAAATATTACTATACTTTTGTTACGATTGCACTATTTTTCTTACCAATCATCATAATGACCACAGCATATGTTTTAATAATTTGGAAACTTTGGATAACCAAGCTTCCTGGTGAGAGTAATGCTGCCTCAATATGTGCACAACATCGAGCCAAGAAAAAGGTGAAATAAAAAATTTGAAAAAATTGCATTTTTCCGACCAAAATCGGTTTTTTGACCTCAATTTACTCGTGATCCGAAAGTTTCCTAAACGGGAGACGTTAACCCTATGCCTAACTTTTTATGCTCTATCGAATGCATATAGTCTCGTCCGGAAATTATTGAGACACCTCGGACACTTCCCACTGAGACTCGAAATAGAACCAAAATTGAATCAACTTTTTTCGACTTTACTAAATTGATTACATTGACGCATAAAAAAAGTATAACTTATCAAAATGAAATGATACATTTCAAGTTTAACATGCCACATTAGCAGGGTGCTGATGAATGTTTTCGGTATTTGAGTGACAGCTTTAGTATTTCTTGGAGTCTGGATATTATTTTCACAAGTTATGTTTTTATTTCTCAGGTAATCAAAATGGCTTGTATTGTTTTACTCGTCTTTGTTTGCTGTTGGGCACCTCTGCAAATAACATTAATCTATTCAGAATTTTTTCACTCACCTTCGGAGCGAGGACAAGTAAGTATCGATAACTTCATTTTTGCCTTTTATAAAGTAATATTTGAAAACTTTCTTTCAGAGACAATCTTAAAGGTCAAACAATTTTGACTGAATTTTTCCTTTGAATCCTTGAAATGAATTTTATCTGTCATTTGAACATTGTTAATTTTTCTTTTCGATGAACTAGAATTGACTTATTTTATCATTTTTTATTAAATATTCCAAACTTTTTTATCTTCTCTGTGAGTCATTAACGCTCAAGGATACAAATGTTGATATTGACTTATAAAAATGTCAATATAAATATTTGCAATTTTTTCTGTTCTGCATTCCTTTCTTTCTTGCTTCGTCTGACAAGTTTATGAGCTTAACTCTATTTGCGCATTCATTTAATAGTAATCTAACCATATCAGGTTGAACTGAGCAAATATCATTCAACTAATGATATGCAACATTATTGATTCCAGATTTAGCAGCCTTTATTAATGTATTTTATTGAACAGTTAACTTGCTTTGGTTTATGCATAACAAGTCGTTCAGCATCACACATATAAAAATCCATGTTTATACATTAATGTCATAAAAAGGTATCAACAAAAAGAGTTTCTCGAAATTCATTAACTGGATACATGTCAATGTGCTAATGTTTTTGATTGGCATTTGATTCGGTAAAGTAAAAACTGTTTAATGTTGTAATCAAACTCAGCAACAGCAATTCGACTTCTCGAGGGAAAATAATGTCTCCTTTATTAGCCAAAAAGAGTTGGAAAATATTTCGATTGATATGATTTCCATTAAATTACCTGTTGAAATGATTCAAAATGTACATAATAGTTGTCTACTTCAAGTTGAATCAATTTAAACAAACAAGTCTCAGTTTGCAATTTTCAGTCAACACAAAGTCGTTTTCAAATCAAGTTTAAAATGAAAAAATACTTTCAACTCATTTGTTTATGAATAAACATTTTTCGTTTTAAAATTCATCTGCAAACATGAAAACCAAGTTGAAAGAATGCAAATTTTGCATAAAATATTCATTCGCCAAGAAACTTGTCAATTAAGCCAATCATGTATAACTAAATGTTCATACTTTTTAATACACTTTTGCTTCAAAGTTTCAACATTTTACCTTTTCTTGCCTTTCTTCAACAGTTGCCTGGTTGGTTTCGTCAAGCATCTTATTTGGCAATTTTCGTTGCATACTCCAACAGTGCCATAAATCCAATTATCTATGGAGGATTTGATAAAACTTTTCGTCAAGCTTTTGGTACGTTTATAAGTTGCCATAGTTTTAACCCAGTTCCTCGAGTTATCCGTAAGTAAAGTGCTTTCTACTCATCTCAATGAGCACAGTAGATAGAATCCAAATCTCTTGTCAAATATTAATGAATGGTTCAAGATTAGGGATTGAAAACAAAAGTGTTGGAAAGAAAGTTTGAAGAGATAAAAAAGTTAGTAAAACAATTGAATGAAAAATTGTACCTGAGTATTGCCATGATTTATTTAAAGGTTACATTTAGAGGTTAATCTGTTGAAACATTTCTACGTTCATCATTTAATTTAATTTCTTTCCTTTCCTTTTCCCCTCAACCATTGAATGTGTTTTTTACTTTTGCTTATGTTTTTTATTTTTTCTTCTTCTTTTCTGCTCTTTTCATTTTCTTCTTTTTGCAGTTGTTCCGGAAAAGAAATCACGAAATAATTACCTTACTAATACTTATAATGTTAACCAATTCTGAAGGAAGATTGTAAAAGAAGCTCGAAACTCTCATCTTTAACCCTTTTCCTTTTATCATCAAAGTCAACTGAACAATAATGTTGTGGAAGGATGAGATTAGAGAATGATAAAAACTCAAGCCTTTCCTTTGTGTTTCAAGTCTGTTCTGATCCTTAACCTAGCCTGATCCAACCTAATGAGTGGATGGTTTTAAAGTTCATGATTGCAGTTGAATAACTTTTGCCTGCTCTGTTTAACTCTGTGAGGACACATTATGCAGCATTGAGCTCGACACAGAAGTTGACAAAGAGACAAACTTTTGGGTAAACCTTGAAAAGCTCACTCAAGTAATTTACAAACTTGATAAAATAAAAGGACAGTGACTCTGCCTGCTTCTAAGCCAGAGATTTTTCAATGTCTATCAATAGTGGACACCTGATTCTATAAGAAATGTTCAAAACCTTAAAGTCGATTTTTTCGATAAAGGTTTTTAGTGCTCTAAAAATGCTCAAAAAAGTTTATAGTTTAAACTCCAAGTCAGGACTTCAAGCCAATGTTTATTGCCATTACTTTTGATAAACTTAGAACTGATCAAAAAATAGCGCTTTGGATAATAGAGTTAGAGAAAGAATCGATTAAGAGTTTGTTAGCAATTAACACCAATTTGTAAGCATTGCTAGACTAAAGAGATTAATGGAAATTTCATTGATTTTCATTAATTATCTGGAAATCTTTGTCCATTAATTTTCCACTGACGCTGACATTGGTCAATCGATTATTCGTTGAGTCTCCAAACAGTGTGAAATGAAATACTTTTCACTGAGCAGCAACAATACAAAGTAAAAGACGAAAACATTGGATTGAGATTTTGATCCGTTTTCTTGAATTTCCATTGAAACTGTATTCTTATGATAAAAATTTTACTAATTTCGTTCTTTCATTGATTTTTCAAGATGAAAGACCCAAAACTCTTGAAAACTCTGGCAAAGTTCGAGCTCTCTGACCTGTGTTTCACAAAGTGAGCAGTCGACGTCCACGCCTAAACTGACAGTGCAAAATGTTAAACTATCCATTTAAAGAGCCTTAACATAATGGAATTGATTTTATCACTAGATAACAATTTACTAATGATTTTAATATAACGCTAGTTTTGTAAAACCTTTATGTCTAAACCTATGTTTATCTTTTGCTATAAAAATTATTGTGCTCAATTTATATGAAAAAAAGCTCAAATTGTTAACTAAAACTAAATGTCTAAAATAAAAACCAATTAATAATGAATAATTTATCGAAATTTATTTTAAACATTTCAACTTTTCTTTCTTTTTAATGGTTGAACCACAAATAAAAAGATGAAGTAAAATGAATTTAGGCAAACATTTTGACAAACCTTGCCTGTTTTGTTGACAGAATGAATTGATAACCTTTTCTCATGAAAACATGGAAACATGGGAAGCACATAATATGGGAATGAATATAATGAACCACAATTTTTCTTCTCTTGTTCCAAGTTATCTGAATATTATTGATTAGCAAAAAAAGAATGTAATATTTTGTCAGAACCAAAGCTATTCAATCTTTCATCGAGAGTCTTTGTTCCAACTGTTCATTGTTTTCCATTAATATTGTTGACTATTTGTAATAAATATATGCTAATAGTAAGATTAATATGAAACTTGATGCACCATTGTTCATGTTCTTATCAATAGAATTCTGGAAAGCAAACATTCTATTGTTTCTCGATGAATATTCAATCAAATTTCCAATTAAACCTTTTTTCGTCTTTTGATACAAATGGAACAATCAGTGGTTTCCAATCATGTTTTATCAGAGAATCGAAAGAAGCCTGAGTTTTCATTATTCGTTGGAAATTAAACTCAGAATTTGATAAATCTTTAAGTAATAATAGATTCGAGTTTAGACTTTGAAAATAAAATTTTAATTTCGTTTTTTGATTGAATTTTCAATAAACTATTTCTTTATCGGAAATGACTTTCAGTCAAAGATTCATTATCTCAATATTCATGTGCTAACATCTTGGGATCAAATTGAAGTTTCAAGTGAAGCTGATATTCATAATAACTTCATTAGAAGAGATTCAATAAGAATTGGGTTGAAAGTTGATGAGAGTTGATCAATAGTCGAAAGAATAGGTTGACTTGGTTTAATCGAATGAATGCATTCTCTGATTTCAAGTTTACTTGTGATTCATGGCAGAACTAAATATTCAAGTTGATTGATGTTTTAATTAAATCAGGAAACTTGTAATAAATGCCTTGAAGGAAGAAGCATAGTTATCGTTTCAATATTTTGTTCATTTGTTTGCTTGAAGAGAGAGAAATAGTTGTGTTGCAATAGTCGCATGTCAATGATGGATAAATGATGATACAAGAAACAGTTGATTTTGGACCATTTAATGACAATAAAGGTATAATTAGAATGTTCAGATTGACTTTATTACATTGACTTTTTTTCTCTCGCTTGTAGTGAGATTAATTGAGTAAACAGATTTGTTGCGCTGTACACCATGAATACAGAATTGATTGGAAAGAGAAAGAGAGAAAAGTTGAAGAATCCATTAAAGATATAAACTTTTTCTGGTCAATTGTAATTGTTGAACACGATAAGAAGATTTTGTTGTTTTGCTTTCGTCTTTACTCGATATTTTGTAACATTACATTGAGACAACATTAGGAGACATTCAACAATGTGCAAGTCAATTGAATCAACAGAAGGAAGGAAAGACAAAAAAGGTTAGAAAATCAATTTCAAGATCTAATAGAATAAAAGAATTTTCTTTCAATCTTAAGTAAGCTTCTAACAGTTGAATGTTTCTAATCCAATGAGAAAATATCATTCCAATGAAACCAAAATCTTGACCATTCTCTTTATTTAGACTGATGTCCAGACAGCCAAATGGTCGCTAATTGCAAACAATTAGACTTGAAAAGAAACAGAGAAAACGAAATACTTCGAAAAATTTGTATCGATCGATTTGCCACAAAAGGAAAGAAGTAGCGTTTGACGAATGATTCGAGAAATTTCCTGTTTTCAGAGTTCGATATTGTTGTATGGATGAGTCATGGAATTCAAGGTTCGAAATGTAATTTTCGAGTAAAGTGTGAAATAGATTTGCTCATTCAAGTTGAACTTGAAAATATTGAGAAATGAATGAAAATGTGAGCGAAAAAAGAAACGATAAAAACTTTTCTTTTTCATGGCAAAAGTTAAAAGCTTTTCACTTTGCAATGAAGAAATGACGATCATAGAGCAAATGTTGTTCAGTTCCGTTGTTCATCATGACTGTATCTTATGAGAATCAAGCCATTTATTTCACCCACTCAGTTGAAGGATGAAAAATTTCTCAAAACTGAACAGAGAAAAGTGTTCAATATTTTGATAAATTGATTTGAATGATAACCTTCAATCTGTGATACTTCAGAAAATCTCCTTTTCTTTCCTAGTTTATTGTTGAATAATAAAATTAACCATTTCCATGTTACATGGTGTTGTGACAAAGTGAAATAAATCTTAAACTTTTTTGCCTTCCCTTGGCCAACATTATTGTTATTGCATACATTGAGATGTAAATGCAACAATGAACATGAAAATTGTTTAATCAAACTCGAGTCAAAGGGAAACTCATTTAATCAGATAATTTGTATTCACAGTGAAATTAGGTAACAATGTCTTGAAACAAATGATTTTAGTGCGAAAAAAGATTGAAACGTTTTTTTTGTTCTTCTCCTTCGTTTTTCCCTTCATGTGTGTATGTGCATTTTATTGTACCATTTATTATTCATTTCATTTTATGCATCTTATAGTGTTCATTGTTGTTGGTGATGAGGAAAGAAATGTGAACGAGAAAAAAATAGGACAGGAAAATAATCAGACGGAAAAAGAAGAGAATCTAAATAGATTATCTTATCATGCTCATTATTATTGCATTTTTTGCTTTTGCCAATTTGATAGACACCAGTAAGAAACTTGTTTTCAACCACTTTTACTCCCAATGCAATTGAACAAAAGCTTCAAGAGTTTATCATTAAAAAACAAGCAAACAACAGCTTTTAGAAATGAGTAAGATGATGCAAAAAAAACAAAACAACAAAACTCTTTTCTCTCTGCATTTTGCTACATTTTCTGTACAGGAATGTCAGACAAACCGAACAAGGCTAAGCTGTTTAATGGCGATGCTGCAACTACTTCAGCACGATCAAATATGAGTGGAACTGGAACTCGTTTGGGATCAACTTTCAAAACTTCATTAACTCAAGAGACTGATGCTCTTTAATGTAACCATTGAATTTCATTTAATGCAAAATTTCAATGTATATTTTATTCATTAATGTAATTTCAAACAATTTTCAATCTCTTTCAATGTTGAAATATCATTCTATCAACTTTAAAAATTGTAATAAAAAACTGATGACCAAAAAATTGCTATGACTTCATCATTATCTCAATTTGTTCGTATATGTAAATTGATCCATTACGAAAATTTATTTCAATTTATTATACAATAGTAAAGTATAGTTTCTTTGCAACGCATTCGAGCTCACATATGCATTTTACAAAAGTTTTATGCTCAATGCTGAAACTAATTCAGGTATATTGAAAGTACACTCACAGCCATCTATTGGTTGAATCCTGAATTCAGTTGCACCTTGAGTTCTTATTCTGAAGCTTGCTAGGATTTCAAAAACTAATCTTCAAGCTGGTAGCTGATAGACTCAATGCAAAAATATTCAGTAATTTTACGCCATTCCAAGCAAACTGTTAATTTTTGAAGAACCATTCCAAAAAGCATATAATAAAAGTCTAAACTTATGTTTACTATAGCTATGCACATCGAGCTTGAAAATCACCGATCCTGTCATCTCTGATTGAAAGTAAAATGTAATATTCCATGCATTTTTAACAAAAATCAGTGCCATCTGATGATTAGTTGTCAACTTATTCAATCTATTAGGTTCTAAATTTTTAGTCGAGTAGGCATTCTAACATATCCAGAAGCAAAATGCAAATGAACTTTCAATGCATCTCTAGCAAAAACTACTCAAGATAGAGATTTTTCATTGTCAAAATACGATTTATCATGGTTTCATTAATACAGCCACTGAAATTGAGATGCAAACATTTTTAATATCGTGTGCGCATATCGAGATAGTGTAATTGAGTTTAAGCAGTGTTTAGTTGATAAACTATCAATACCTGCGTTAACTTTTCAAAAAATGTTTGCAACTCAATTTTTGTGGCTGTATATAGAAGTTTTGATTCACTCTCGATCTGTTTTGATTATCTTACAAGAAAAGTGTCTCAGGTGTCTCGAAAATTCCCGATCGAGTCTAGGGTCATTTGATAGAGCACAAAAAACTAAAAACAAATCAGCGCCTCTGCATCACTGATTAAACTTTCTGCTACACTTGTCAATGTTGCGTAATTTGTTTACAGCTTTGAGGTTACAAACCTCTATCTTAGCATTGACAGATTCATCTTTAAACATTTGGTTTTGTTACTTGATGTAGCGTTTCTTTTCTTTTGTCAGCAACAATTTTTTTGGTGTCAGTTAACGTTTCACCCAATCCTTTCACAGTAATGATTGCTCTGGAAATATGGGCCGGTGGATTATCTCCGATGAATTTCTATGTTTTTTTATCATGATCGCAAGAGTGGCACAACGACTGTAGATAATTAAAATTAACTGATTTGAAATTGATATATATAACTCATCGTTGCGGAGTTTCTGACATATTGATTAAACAAATAAATTAAACAAATTAATTAATTACTTGATAGGGTTATAAATGTTATCAGAATTAGTGCTAATGAAGTTAAGTATATTTCCTTGCGGCTGTCTTTCAAATGAATCAAAGTAGTGAGTTACTTTGTTTTTATCGAAGTAAACGGGTTCCAGGTTCCACAATTACTTTCATCAAGATTAATTATCTGTCCCATGAATCCACTATATATCTAACCACACCCAGAACTCACATTCCCTTACTAATCATCAGTTTAAGAACGAATTTTCAGCGGTGGCGACATTGAATATCTTGGGGGACATTTGCGAGGCTTTCAAAAGCGAACCTATTAACACCATGCAATTTGAACCCTTCAAAGTCAAAATAGCTCTCGTCATCGAGTATCAATTGCTTGTTTCCGATGATTTCTTTCATTTGAAGAAGTCGACTTTTTGTTGTTTTGCCTGTGCAGTTTTGAATGTTTTCGAGACTACCGATTTTCCT